TGCATTTCTCCATGTAGGCAACCATTGCTGTCTATTCCCTGCTACTCCCAAGCAAGACTCCAAGGACTTCAGAAATACTTTAAACTTCACATTTCCAAAACAGTGTTCAGAGCCCTCCCTTCTGTAGTGGATTGACCATGGCTGGATGCCAAGTGCTCACCAAGCTGCTCTCTCACTCCCCTTCCCAGCAGGACAGAGGAGAGAAAATAAGATATAAAACAATTAGTGGGCTGAGATAAGGCAGATTACTAAAGTGGGAAAAAAAAACCAAGATTGACAGATATATTAAACTTTTCTTAATTTTTTTTTTTTTTAAAAAAATTAAATAACCCAAACCCTAAACCAACCTCCAAAACTGTTACAATAAGGAATGCTGTATTCAGAAAAACATGCAACATTCTAAGGATACTGGTAAGTGCCTGTTGATGAAAATCTTGAACAAAAAGAAGACAGAATTAGTCTCAAAATGGAAAGAACAAGAATCACAGTATGGGACTAATGCAGCTATGTAAGGGCCTCTTTATAATCAGGAAATATAAAAGGAATATTTTTTCTGAGTTCAGAAATAAGAGCTGTGATGAATGATTAGTCATAGTATAGACGAATTACATAAACACATATGGGTAAAATCAGAAAGGCCAAAGCATACAATGGGCTAGAGTCAGCATGGATACAAAAAGACAGTTAAAACATGTTCTCTATAAATGGTATGTTGAAAGAAAATATAAAAACTAAGGTCCTTAGTTAAGTGGGAAAGAAAACAAACATAAGAATAAAGAGTCAGAAGTTGCTTTCTCAAACAGTAAATTTCTTAATCAGTTTAAGTCAGGTCTCAAGAACTAATTGTGACCTGTGTTTTGAACTAAGGAATATGATCAAAAGCTTGGATAAGCAAATGCTATAGAAATTGCAGTTATTTTCAGATTGTTATCTGTATCTAACCTATCATGCCCTATCCCACCAGATTCTTCCTTAAGGGCCCAACAGATGAGGGCAGTGTCCCCAGGTTCCCATCTCATGGAAGATGAGGCAGGACTGTGTGTGTGTGTGTGTGTGTGTCTGTGTGTGTGTGTGTGTGTGTGTGTGTGTATGTGTGTGTGTACAAGGTGAGAAGAGCAGCAGCTGCCTCTTTACAGGGTTATGGGGCTGTCAGAATACAGAATGCATGTCTGAGTGGCAGTCATGCAATATATCTTTAGTAGCACAACTTTTGACCTTCTCTTCAAAACAGGCAACCGGAACACAAGCGGAAATGTAGGTTAGATGGACTTACAGCAAACTGAAAAACTGTCTGCCCAAAGAGTAATTCAGGCTGCTGCAGAAACCAGAAAGGTAGGCTGTAAATGCTTAAGATTTAAAAACCCAATAAATTTTACTAAGTTATCATTGTGGGGTATCTGGGTGGATTACTTCGTTCTACTAGATGCTTGTGAGAACTGGAAATAATTACTGTCCTGATTAAGTGCCAAAGTCCTTGTCCAACTTTGGGCATCACTGAAAAAGCCATAATCACCCACCAGCTCCAAAAGCAAACAGGAAACATGACTCTTAAAAAAAATAAATGCATGTTTTAAGCATAAAAAAGACATACGTAAGCATTTGTCCAATGTACAAAAGGTTGCTATAAAGAAGACAAGAGAGCATCTATTTTAGTTTCTGCTATATGAGCAAGAAGGTTAAATCAAGACAATTTGCAGCCTAGAGGATTTGGATTAGAAACTAGAAGAGGATATGCTATTCTGTGGACAGGTGAGTAAAGGAACACACAGTTTCTTCTCTGGAGATTGTCAGGGCTTGCTTTGAAGTACACAGAGACTGATTAGAACATGAGCCTGAACAGCATCACTTCTTATCTGTTTTAAACTTTCATTTTTCCTAAACCTTTAATTACTGCTTTGTAGTTTTTATCCTACAACTGAAATTTCTGCAAAGAACTGACAATATTTTTTAGATTTTATTTTTTAAGGTGTTTATGTTCCTAACATTTTAGAAGTTCCTTCCTAGAAAAATCTTAGCTAATTATTATGCTAACCTTCTCTTTCCAGGTACATGCTTGAAAGGAATGAAACAGCTACTTATGTTTTTCTTGAAATTGATGGAAGACAGAGAAAATATATAGGCAAAAAAAATTGCTGGACATAAAGTAATCATATAATGGGCAAGGGAAAAGGCAGTAAAGGCAGGAAAAGGAAGGTAATAGAGTAGGGCTGAACTGTGGATAATTTGAGGGACCTATGGAACTCACAGGTCTGAGACACCATTTCCCAGGTCTTGGAGAAAAGCACACCAATATATCACTTTAATTTAAAGGACATAAACAAACCAATCAGTAAAAGTGTCTTTCGTTCTCTCTGAAGAGTCATGAAGCACATTAAAACAGTAAGAACAACCTGGAATGTATCCTTCTTCTGTTTGAATACTGACATTTCTTGTATAGACTTTCGTGATTTACCATGCTTGAATTTGGCTTTAACAACAGTAAAAGAGGTGCTGTCAATAAGCAATAATCTGTTGTCTTTTCTGTTCCATCTCCCTAACTAAAAGAGCAAAACTAATATGCATTTGTCACCTGTAGACACCCACTGAGCCTAGATTAGGCCTGAATTGTCACTGGAAAGAGATGAAAGTAAATTCTGGTCACAGTCCAGATCCTGACTTAGTCTGGGACAGGAAGGCGGAGCTAAATGAGCACATTAATTCCAGAATTTAGTTTTCTAGATTCTCTGCTCATCTTTGCAGCAGAAAAGAGGTGAAGCTAGAAGAAGATGGGTGAATATACTAGAAATAATGCTTAAGCACATGAATCAGTTTTCAGAAAAAGCATTGAGTCTTACACTGCAGGCTTGCACAGACTAGAGAAAAGTGAAAACACACTTAGTCTCCTCTTATTAAAAATGCAAAGGTAGAATATTAGAGTCTTTAATGCAGAATTTCTCCACTGAAAAAGAAAATTATACACCAAGATAATACAACCAACAGTAGTACAATAGAAATGAAATAACTGATTGTCTTCTATATAAGTGATTATAAATTTGCAACATTGAGTTATATAATTAAATAGGAAAAAATTAGTATCTAAAGCTACTTAACCTGCACTTACATTAATAACCATCACACTGGTGTTTTGGTTGCCTCCCCAGAAATCTTGAAAACTTTGAAAAAATTAACTTTCACTACCATAGCAAAGATTGCGTGATTATTATAGAGGCATCATGGCCCCAAAAAATAAGTTCACCCTGAGTCTGTTTAGGTTCTGTCCTATCTTTCTGTTATAGAAGTTCTCTTTCAACAGGACTAATCTATCAAAGCTACCTGTTTTGTACATCAGATTCCTCCACAATCTACTTAATACTTCTGTACTTTCCATAGTAACAGCAAAATACAACAGCAGTTGTAAAAGAAAAATAAAAAAAAATTGGTGTTTCTACTATGCTGCTACTTAACCTTATGAAACTTCTAAGTGATCCAAACATGAAGAAATACATATGCTTTTTATACTCCCAAGTATACTTTCTTCATGTCTAATTGATCAATGGGTGGTCCAGCTACATGATGGAACATTCCACAACAGTCTGCTGTGCAGACAGAACAGGAAGCACATGACCTGACACCTACCATTCACTGTTTTTTATACAATTAATTTCTCTCAGTTGCTGACACATCTTTCATAATGCTTTCCAAGAGTTTTCTTTGGAAACCAGTGAGATTTTTTTAAAAGAACATGGATCTCAATCTGAAAACACTTCACTGAAGCATATCTATTTCTAAGAAACGCAGATTGAAATACAAACCTTCCATGAATCTAAGGACAGGAAACCCTTCCCCCCTCAAAAAACTTATTATTCTCATATGATGAGCAACCCACATTCATTCACTTTAAAATTACTGCCAGTAGAAGAATTTCAGTACAGATCTAATTCATCAGTAAGAAAATGTTCAGTAGGAAAATTCTATTATTCACCCAGAAGGGAGGGGTGTCCATAAACGTGTGGGTGTTACATGGAAGTAATCATTTTGCTTTGCTTTGTTTCAAGTTACTGGCTTTTAGCCCAGATTTTCAACCCATCTAATTTGTTGAAGTGGCTAATTATCTCACTGTCATGAGCACTTAATAAACATTAAAATAATTGCTTTTTGCAGAGTGGGTAACCCTGAAATGATTATATACTCTCTTTCCTCCCCCAAAATGAATCCATTACTTATCATTTTGTCTGCTTACATCTGATAGCATGATGTATCTCAAACTACAAATCTCCAAACCACAGGATCTGTGCTAGACAGTTTAAAAGCACAATTCCCTTCTAAATCAAAAAATTAGCTCTGCAGACTGGGTATACATTGCAAAAATAAGCAAATCTGGGATTTTTTTAAATCATCTCTATATTTACCATTCATTACATATGGAGATGTCTCATCTTCTAGTGTGGTGAAGATGAAGGTTATTAAGCTACTACCATTACAGTGGCTATGCCATAAAAGAATGATGCTAGCCTTGAACCCCCACATTCTTCAGCCAAACTCTAGAACCATGTACAACCACATTATTGTTGCTGTCAGGCAGCAATGCTGCTATGCATGGCCACCAATGCTAAAGTTGTGCCTCACTTCTATTACTCAGGCTTGTCTAGCCTTGGTTTCTGCAGCCCCTCAAAGCTGGGCAGGGGCTGAAGCCAATTCTCTCACCAGAAGCAATTCCCCTCCTCTCTGCAGCAAAGAGCCATCAAAGACATTGTGCAGTTGAGTGAATCATCATGCAGTTTTTCCACTTCTGGTGATGAGCAGCTGACATTTAGGTTAATGGCGAGCTGTAGAATCCCATGGCCCATAGGAGAGAAAACATACCCCAAAGCCACTAGCAGGACATCTTGGGGAAGAAAGCAATCTTACTCTCTTTCTTCACAAAGGAATCAATTTGCTTGAGACTGGAAAACAGTTGATAAGAGATACAGGAGGAGCAAAAGAGGGAAAAAGGCTTAATTT